TCCTTGGCGAGGGACATCATGCTTGTGAGGGTGGAGGGACGGCGCAGGAGAGGAAGGCCCTCTATGAGGTGGATTGATTCAGTGACTGGGGTAATTGGGATGGGTGTGTCAGAGGCAGTGCGATTGGCACAGGATACAGCAGGGTTTAGGGCTGTTGTGCATAGGGTCGCTATGAGTCGCAAGTGACTCGATGGCATGCAACAACAACAACAACAACAACAACATCTTAAGGTATGTTGAAAATGAGATATGCTCATGCATCCAGTTCTTAGATCAAGATGAGAAGAATTCCATCTCCATGCGTACCCCCTCCCAGTTACTAACTATGCTACCCTGGCACTACAGTTTAATCTCAATCTAATGCCATGGATTAGTGCTGCCTGGTTTGAACAGTAGAAAAAAGAAATTATATACTATGCACACTTTATTGCTGACTTTTTAGCTTAATGTTACAGTTGTATTTACTATGTTATTGGTATTTGTTACCCTTTATTCCCATTTCTGTATATAACATGGCATAAATATTCCACAAAAAATTCTACAATATACAGAGATAGTGATGGGCACTTGACTATTTATGAATAGTCCTACCCTAAACTTTCTTGTCTCTTTTGTTCAACATATACACTTATTTCTATACTTAGCAGTGGAATTGCTTCATCATTTGATATTCCTGTGTTTAATTTGACAGTGACAAGTAGCTTTTCCAAAGTGCTAAACCAGTTTATGCATTGTTGTTGTTTTTTACTGATTCAGAAGTGACTCTTAGCTGACCCTCCTGTGGAGTACACTCTCAGACTCAACTCTTAGCCTGTAAGACTCTTAGATTCTTAATTTGTTGGAGGGCCGTATCATTCAAGAGGCTGGACTTTATGAGAAAGAATGTGGCATCAGGATTGGAGGAAGACTCATCAACAACCTGTGTTATGCAGATAACACAACTTTACTTGCCAAAACTGAGGAGGGGCTGAAGTGTCTGTTGCAGAGTGTCAAGGACTGTAGTTTTCAGTAAGGATTGAAATTCAACATCAAGAAAACAAACAGTCTCCCCATTTGGCCAATTGGCAGCATCATGGTAGATAGAAAAGAGATTGGGACTGTTAACAATTTCAGCTTGCCCCTTTCTACAATTAACACTCTTGGCACCAGCAGTCAGGAAATTAAAAGATGAATGCAGTTAAGAAAATCTTCTGTCAGGGACCTCTCTAGAATGCTGAAGAACAATGACGTCAGTCTAAAGACAAAGGTGCACCTAATCCTGGTCATGGTCTTCACAATTACTTGCTATGCATCAGAAAGCTGAACAGTGACCAAGGATGACAGAAGAATTGATGCCTTTAAGTTGTGGTGCTTGAAAAGAGTATTGAACATACCAGGGACTGCCAAGAGGACTAAAAGGTCTGTCCTGATATGGTGAAATCAAGCTGCTTCTTGGAGGAAGGGATTTTCAGACTCTGTCTCACATACTTTGGTTATGTAACCAGTAATCAGTCTTTGGAGAAGGATATCATGCTTGGAAGAAGGGTCAAGGGACAACACAAGAGAAGAAGACAGCAGATGAGATGGATTGGCATGATAACTGGGATAACGAGGATAGGTATGTCAGAGCCAATGGGATTGGCTCAGGATAGAGCAGGGTTCAGACCTATTGTGTATTGGGTCACTATGAGTCATAGTTGGCTTGATGGCACATAACAACAACAACATACCAGCTCATACTCCCACTGGTCATGAGTGAGATTTACATCAGATCCATTCTTTTGTGTATCTTTGTCTACAGTTCATTTTAGTTCTTTGCGTGAGTGTTTATTTCATGAGTTTTTATTAAATGGTAGCTGTTATTATGGTTAGTTTTTCAACATTGTTCCATGAACACAGTAGGAATTCAGTAGACATTCTTGAAATAAACAGTAAATGTCAATAAATTTTTAAAAATACTATCAATAAACTAAATTAAATGGAAATAATTAAGCTTTCAAGATTCTCATTGTTCACATATTCTTATTTAATACCCTAATTCCCAGGAGTGAGGCCCTTTAGGCTTGTCCTAGGGTTTAAGGCAGGTGGTGGTTTAAAACCCCAGAGGGAGAGGGGAGGAGAAGGCAGCCATGACATTGCTGGATGAGCATGGTGGTCTGCGTGTGCAAGTAATTGCAAGAGTTTGGGGTCATGTGCTTTTTTGGGCTTGTTTTTGACATGCATTACTGCTCTCCCCCCCAGGAGCAAGGCTCTTGAGGCTTCGCCTGGAGTTTAAGGCAGGCAGTGACGTAAAGCCCCAAAGGGCCTGAGGTTCAAATTCGTTTTTTGTCCAACATTCTTCTAGGTGGTATAGCACTGGTCTGTGCATAGCTGTACAGAGGTAACTCGTGGTTGCTATGATGCTAAACACCGTGTCACTGATGTGCCAAATGGGATAATGGTTACCCATGGTGGACAGTGTTTGGTGGAGCTTCCTGATTAAAACAAGCTTGGAAGCAGGAGTGGCGTCCACTTCTGAAACAGCTTGACTCCAGAAACTCTGCGAACAGTGCTCAGGTCTTTGGTTCATAGGGTCGCCATAAGTTGTCTACGACTTGGTGGTACCTAACAACAACATTTCCATTTGTAATACCATAGTCGCCTGTATACTTCTTATTCTTTAAACGTCATGCTAATTAAGTTATTCCCAATTCATGCTCCATGGAGGAAAAGATGACAAAGCATTTTCTCACATTACTTTGGGCATGTTGTTAGGAGAGGCCTTAGAAAAAGACATCATGCTTGGAAAAGTGGAGAGTAAGAGAAGACTCTCAGATTGCTAAATTGACAAACTGACTGTAATGATGGGCTTGAGTATGTCAGAGATGGTTAGGGTGGCACAACCCTCAACAAGGGTTGGGAAAACCCTCATGGAGAATTGACATGGTGATTGTAGCAATGGACTCAAATATGTCAGAAATATTGAGGATGGCTCAGGATAGGACAGAGTTCAGATTTATTGTTTCTAGGATTGCTGCCATTCTCGACATGAACCTAGCAACAAGAAGAAGTGACCCTAGAGAACAGAGTCAAACTGCCTCCGTATAATTTTAAGTGTGCAAATAAAAGACTGCCACATCTTTCTGTTTTAGAAAAGCAAATGGGTTCAAAGTACCAGCCTTGTAGTTAATAGACAAATGTCTAGCCCCTAAGCAAGCAGGGCTTCTTTCGCCTTCTCTTTACATTATTATAATTGTGTTATACTTACAGTTTTATGAGGGTATCATACAATTATTTCAGAAGAGGAAGAAAAAGTTAACATTGAGCCCTCATTTCTCTTAGTATGAAGGCGAAAAGTATTGGTAGGTACCAAAGTATATGCTTTTGGTTTTTCCCTCATTCTGTCAATAAGAATTTTATAGCCAGCAGTTTTTATGATATCATTCAGCTATCTGAAAGGCCATAAAGACTAAATAACTGTGAAGGATTTCCCAGCTGGTGGTTGTGTATACCAGGACTGGAACTTTATCTAGAACACTTTTCTATTATTCTGTTATTTTCATAAGGAATTGTTTCTGCTATACATAACTAAAAATATGATGGATAGTGGCTTTAAATAGTCACATTTACTTTTTTTTTTTATATAAGTAGCTACCTGGAGGCAAGCAGTTGTTGACTTCTATCAATGACTCAGTGTTGTCATAGGTCTGGGCTTGCTTCTGTAAGATTTTATTGACTTTTATCGTTAAGTTACTTAATGTATGGTTTTAGTGGTTCCCAGCATCATAAATGTGCTATATCTATTTAACATTTATTTTCATTACACTATGGTACTATAGGTTATAACATAAAAATCACTTATACAATATATACTTTATTTCTAGGTTGTTTCCTTTATGTCTGCTAATAAGTAATCTGAAAAAAAAAAAACCAAAACAGACTTGTACCTTTATACTTATCCAATTAGTGCATTCTATTATATTTGTTTCAAAATATAAAAGAATCCTTAGACAAAATATTAATATAACTTTTTTGAGTAGTTTATCATTATATAGGATATCAGTACTTTAGAAAAATTATTAACAAAATGCATTTCTTAACAGGATAAAAACCCATTCTACATTAACTGAAAATGTGCTTTCTAATAAATTGCAATTTGATGGTAGGATCATATCAAGGTAATTATTTTATAAAACATTTCAACCTTATGATTAGAAACATTTTTCTCTTTCAGAAACTTAGAAGTTATGTTTTAAAATCAAATATATAGTACCAAGTGGAAAGTCCACACCGTTTACCAATTTTCATTTATTCATACCAATTTATTATACCAATTTTCATTAATTTCATTTTAATGGTTCAGATATCTAGAAGTTTACTGATATATGAAGGAAATCAACAAAGGAACCAATTATTTTTTTTTTCTTTTTCTTTTCTTACTATTTTGTAACGTGTACCATCAAATCAGATCTGATGGGTACAGGAGGAGATTGCCCCTCCTTCTACAGCAGAGCATCTGGTGGATTCGAACTGTGTACCTCTGGGATTGTAGTTCAGCTTCTTGCCATTAGGCCACCAGAGCTCCCTCCAGGAACCAATTCTTAAATGTTACACTAGTACCATATACTTTCACAAATAATATTACTTAATAATCTTTATGTACTATGACTAGCAAAATACAGGTACTTTCTTTCCTCTCTGTTTAACATTTGGTGAGTAATTTTTTTAATTTTTCTCCCACTGTAGGAAGCAGTAATTATACATCCACCTTTATATGCTATATTTTCCTTGTAGAATACACATTTCCCATCATTCTTGTTCATTTTTGTCTACCTGAAAGAATTATGTTAGTCCTTTTTGAGTTATACAATTTTAGTTTATCAATATTTAATTTGAAAATAATTCTTTAGTTGAAAAAATTTTACTTTTTTTCCCTTTTTTCTAGAAATGGACATGATACTTGTAGAGAGCTGGTTGGGTTCTTTTTCACTCATGACCAGTCCCTTACTGTTTATGAATATAGAAAATTTGGGAAAAACAGGTATGTCATAAAATACTGATAAAACTCAAGATAATTGCTTTGGAGAGAAGTGAAATAACTTTATGCTGTATTTAACTTCTAGAACAAATGTGCTTCCTTTTATTAAGAAGAACATTTATAGACATCAGTGTGGACGAAGAAAAGGAAAACAATACCAACTTGGTGATTTTTACATTGTAAGTTAAGTGTGTATGGGTATGCACAAATGTTTAAGCCTTAGATGTTTGATTGTAAGAGGATCCTGTTGGGACAGAGGAGCAGGGTTTCTGGTCTCCAGTTTATTTCCTCTTTTCCCTCCTGAGTAGGCACTATTTTATTCTATTTTTTTAAAATACTGGTTTATTTACGAAGTTTAAATACAGTTTTTCACACCAGATCTTTCCCATTTCCTTCATCAAACACGCCCATCAAATTGTATGACCCTATGATTAACCCCTCCCTTCATCCTCACCACTCAGCTTCCACCCTCTCCCCGACCTTGGATCCTCATACTTATTCTACAATGATGGTTTTATACAGCATCTGTCCTTGTGGGACTGAATTAGTTGACTCGACATAATGCTTTCCAGTCCCTCCCAATTTAGGTAGTAATTTACAAAATCATTGCTCCTGCATGATGCGTAGTATTCCATTGTGTGAATGTACCATAATTTCTCAATCCAATAGATTGTGGTTAGGCATCTGGGCTGTTTCCATGTTCTTGAGATGGTGAATAGCATTGCTGTGAACACTGGTGTACAAGTCTCTGTGCCTCAGTTCTCATTTTCTCAGGGTGTATTTCCAGCAGTGGAACAGCTGGGTCATAAGGAATTCCTATGTTCAGCTTTTTGAGGAAGCTCCAAACTGCCTTCCAGAGTGGTTGTACCATTTTACAAACACCAACGATGTATAAGCGTTCTTATCTTACCACATCCTCTCCAACATTTATTATTTGCTGTCCTGTTAAACTTTGCTACTGCTACTGGGGTGAGATGGTATCTCATTGTGATTTTAAATTTCATTTCTTCAAATATCTTCCTCTATGAAAATTCTCTCCGTGTCTTTTGCCCATTTTGTAATTGGGTTATCACTTTTCTTCTTGTGGAGGCCGAGAATTATTCTATAAACTTTCATTATGAGACTCTTGTCTGAGATGGTATTGCCAAATGTTTTGTCCGAGTTGGTAGGTTTTCTTTTCACCATGTTGGAAAAAGTTTTCGAAGTGCACAGGGATTTAATCTTTAGAAGGTCCCATTCTTCTATTTTATCCTCTTCAGCTTGTGCATTTCTGATTGTATTTGACAGTCTCTTTATACCACAGATTAGACCTTCTAAGCTTGATTGCAGTTTGTCTCTTAGGAACTTTATGGTTTTGGGCTTTACTCCCAGGTCTCCAATGTACATTGTATTGATTTTTGTGTGTGGTGTGAGATGTGGATCCTGTTTCAGCTTTCTGCAGGTGGTAGTCCAGTTTTGCCAGCACCATTTGTTGAAGAGGTTGTCATTTCCTCATTTGATAGGTTTTATTTCCTTGTCAAATATTAGTTGACCATAGATAACTGGGTCTATTTCTGAAGTCTCAATTCTGTCCCATTGATGTATGTGCCTGTTGTTGTACCAGTTCCATGCTCTTTTGGTTACTACTACTATTTAGTAGGTTTTGAGGTCAGGGAGTGCTATGCCTCCCCTTCATTTTTGTTTCTCAGAAATGTTTTGCTTATTTGGAGTCTCTTGCCTCTGAACAGGGATTTTTGTGTGAGTGGCTAATAGATAATGTTCCAGGAGGATCTTTCAGAACTGACATCTCTCAATGGTCTGAATTTAAGTATAACATTTATTTTGTCTCATCTTTCTCAGCCTATAATTCCACAGTATAAATAATGTCCAGGAGAGCTTGCTATGTAGTACTTTCAAAAGCTCTCCAAATCTCTAACATTGAAAAAGTAGCTTCTTCAATACCTCCAGGAGAAATGTACCCCTAAGCCAGGCTTATCCTTTCAGGATGATAGATTTCCTCTATACAGAGAGGTACTTGGACTCTGTATGTGTTATTTATCTGATAGCCTATCATCAGTGCAATTTTTCCATCTTGATAAATTCCTGACATATGGTAATGGACTAGCACTGGAAATTGACAGTGAATAGTTATACTCATTTTATGCGTCTATGTAGCTTATAGTCTAGTGGGATTCACTAGTGTTACAAATGTATTCTCTAGCTAATAGAAATATTGAAGATTTGAGTCCACCCAAAGGTGCCTTGATGGAGGGGCCTGGTAATCTACTTCTGAAAGATTAGTCACTGAAAACTATGGAGCACAGTTCTACTGTGACACACATACAGTCTCCATGAGTTATAATTGACTGGATTTTCACACCCTAATGGGAAACATACAAATATTTCCAAGATATTGTGACCTGTGGTCAAAGAAACTCTAGTGGTATAATGCATAACTTATCAGGCTGCTACCTGAAATGTGGCAGTTTGAATTCACCTCTCAGTCCAAAGGAGAAGGTTGGGCAATCTTCCCCATAACTATTTACAGCTTTGGAAGCATGATAGATTAAAGGTTTGTATGTATGTGTGTGTATCTGACTTGCTGTCACATGTGCCATGGCAAAGGAGCAATAATCTATCCTTGTGGGGTTAAAGGCAGCTTTTTGGAGAAAGTCTCTTCTAACCCATACCTGGAGAATGAATGGGATTTAGCTTGACTCAGACAAGAATATAGCATCAGGAGCAGAGGAAGACTCATCAACAACCCAAGTTTTGCAGGTGACATAACTTTGCTTGTTTAAAGTGAGAAAGATTTGAAGTGCTTGCCACAGAAGATTAAAGACTATAGCCTTCAATGTGTGCTACGTTTAGGCATCAAGAAAACAAAACCCCTCACTACTAGGCCAATAAATAGCATCATGAAATATGGAGAAGAGATAAAAATTGTCAACAATTTCAACTTACGTCGATCCACAATCAAGACCGTTGGCACCAGCAGCCAGGAAATAAAAGTATTGCATTGGGAAAGTCTGCTGTCAAGGACCTTTCCAAAGTGCTGAACAGCAATGATGTCAATTTGAAGACTGAATGATACCTGATCTGAGCTATAATATTTTCAGTTATTCATTATGCAGCTGGAAGTTGGACAATGAATAAGGACAACAGAAAAATAATTGTTGCCTTTGAGTTGTGATATTGGAGAATACTGCTGAATATCCCATAAATTTTCAAAAAGACAAATATTTCTTGGAAAAAGGTGCAGCCAGGGGCTTTTTGGAGGCAAGGATAGTGACAGTTTATCTCAAATACTTTGGGCATGTTGTTAGGAGGAGTCAGTACTTGGAAAAGTGCATCATGCTGGGAAGAAAGGAAGGTAGAAGACCTCAAAGCGATAGACATATTTTTAATTTTGGGCTTGTGTGTGTCAGAGATCTTTAGGATGGCACAGGGTGGGGTAAGGTCCCTATCTATTGTTCATGGGGTCACTGAGTCAAAGTTGAATAGATGTAATTTAACAACAACAGCAACACACAGAGAGGGAGAAGGGAGTAAAGGCCTTGTAATGAAGAAGAGAACTTGTGCAATGAATATACTTTTATTGTTGTTGTTGTAAGGTGCGGTCAAGTTGACTGCAACTGTATGAACAATGGCTCTGCACCTTGCCCTATCCTGTTCCATTCATATGATCTCTGATATACTTTAGCCTACTAATGTCAGATAGTAGATATCAAAACCTTGAAACTGACTCCGTTGTACCATTTCACTCTTTCTCTGCTCTGCCTCCCTCTGATTGCTCTCAAGTCAGAACTGACTCTCCAGTGGGCTTTCAAATGCTGTAAATCAAACAGAAGCAGATTGTCCATCTTTCCTCCATGGAGCAGCTGACAGATTCAAACGGTTTGATTGTAGGCTGACAATGGAGCTCTTTCTCTGCTAGGCCTCCAAAACTCCCTGATGTACTATTTGTTGTTGTTAAGTGCCGTCGAGTCGCAGGTGACTCATAGCGACCCTATGAAGGAGAGTCCTCAATGCTGGGTGTCTCCCATCCTCTCTCCAGGTTCATAGGGTTTCCAGAGGCAAGCTATTATGGAAGTGGGTGCCATTCCTCCTTCCAAGCTTGTTTTAATTGGGGAGCTCCACCCCACTCTCTGTCCTCATTGGGTAACCAGCCATTAATGCATTTGACACATCAGTGTCACAGTGTTCAACCTCACAGCAACCACAAGTTATTGCTGTATGGCAACTTGTACACCGGAGCTATACGACCTAGAGGAATGTCTGTCCTCTGCCCTTCAGGGTTTAAACAAGCTGGCACTCTACCTTAATTATTGTCTTAAATTACTCACAAGTTCAACTAGAGTAACAATTTGAATCTGGACCTAGTGTAAGAACTCTTATATCAGCCATTAGTAAGCTATTCTTGTTAAAAAATAACAGGAACTAGATCTTTAGTGTGCATTTCACCCTTTACTCAATCATCTTTACAGAAGTATAACTGATTTACAACACACCGAGGCAAAGAAGGAGCTTCTCAAAGGGGATGCTTGCAGCCAGGGAGCTCTGTTTGCCCCCAGCCTCATGCTTTCATTAGCTGCTTTTAATTTCCTTGAATGTGGAACCTCTCTCTCAGCAGCCTTACTTGGCAAGCACTCACTCCTTAGTGCTTCTTGATTTCCTAAATTGAAATATACTTTAAGTGATTCTCACATCACAAGATATGTCTATTGGATCAACTTAACAATGAAAATAACTGTTTTCTACATTTATATTAAGTCATTTTGATAGGCCTTTTGTTAGAGAGCCTCAATTGTCTTTATTAGGTTATAATAGATTTTTATATTTATGTGTGCATGTTCTCAAAAGACCAAATCCATCACAGTTCATAAATTCAAAGTGCATCTTTCTTTTTAAAAATAGTTTAATGTAGTCTAATAGCAAATTTACAGAAACACACAGAAGATAGACAACATTACAAATATGTACTTACATGTAGGACAATTCTGTTAGAAAGGTACAGTGAATGAAAAGAATCTATTGTGTGATAAAAATGCCACAAACACTATTTGATTGCTATCAATAAGAAATTTACTCATTTTTTAAAAGTCCAAATGTTGACATTGTCCAGAAAAATGTAACATATTTATTCATAATTGGCATAAAGCCAAACTGCTGAAACTTTTCACAGAAACATTTTTTCTGATTTTCAATAATCCTTTATGCTCCCAGATTCATATTAGAAATTGACCTATACATGAAAAGGGAAAACCTACCAGTACCTGATTTCTGCCCTTATTTTTCCATTCACAATCATACTTTTAACCCGATGGAGAAAATTATCTAACATTCAAGAACTACCAATAACAGGACAAGGTTGTTGGGGTTTTTTGTTGGTTTTTTGGTGGTTTTTTTTTAAAGAATGAAGTGTTTCCCAGCAATTCCACTACTGGGAATATACTATAAAGAAACCAGAACATTGACTCAAACAGAGTTTGTATGCACACCCATGTTTATTGGTACTTATTCATAATAGCAAAGAGATAGGAGCTGACCAAGTGCCCATCAACAAAAAGAATGGATAGAAAAACTGTGATACATTCACATAAAGGAATATTACACAGCATTAAAAACAATAAACTTGTAAAACACTGCAAAATGTGAGTGAGCCTGGAGAATATTATTCTGAGCGAAATAGCTCAGTCACAAAAGGGCAAATACTGCGTAACACTGCTGTTTTAAAATGGGACTGACATGGGAGGCTGAAGGGAGAATAGGAAGAGTGGATAGGTAATGAAAATTGCTTTGCAACAGATGAGGGGAAGAACTGTCTGAAAGGAATATGTGATTAGACATTCTATGTATGACAACAATCTGGAACAAGAGAGCTTTGTTTGCAAAGTAGACTGGGGGAGGGAGAAGGATGGAGGAGATTAGCAACAATGGATGAATGAAAACCCAAACTTTCTGTAGAAGGAAAAAGAGAAGAATGAAATGTTTCCCATTATAGTGGATTCTTAAGGAATTTTCACATATGTGGCATGCTGGTTGGATGTCTTTTGGAATAATTGTTAGACATTTGGCATGTATAGCAAATGGGTTAGCAATTTCAAAAAGTTCAATCAAATAGACCTCACTTGCTTCCTGCAAAGCACTGGTTAGCTGAAAGTGCAGATCTATTTTGAAGTACTAAGCAATTTTTCACAGAAGATACTGGAAGAGAAGTTTTTGAATCAGAAGTTCACTGGACTCCTGATAATGCCTACTGCCCATTGTATCAGGCCTGCAGACTTGAGGTTTGTTCATCTGTGCATTAGAGGGCACACTCTTGTGAGTGGCTTTTGTAGCCAGTTGCTACATGGGTGCTCTCCCCTTGGTTGATTTGTAAACAGTCACTTTTCTGGTGGCCTAGTGGCAAGACATTGCACCGCAATCTTAGAGGCACTTTTTGTACCATCGAGTCAGAATAGACACATAGCCAGCTAAGCCTCTAGTGGGTTTTCCGAGGCAGTTAATTGCACAGGAAGAGACAGCCCATCTTTCTCCTGTTGAGCAGCTGGTAGATTCAAACCACTTATTTTTGGGTTGGCAGTGCAATTCCTTACCATTAAGCTACTAGAACTCCCTCAAAGACATCCTTTTGGAAATCACTATTTGCTAAGCAGGAAACGGATGGGCCATCACCTCTCATGGGATTTACTGGCTCTGAAAACTTGCTGCAGGGCTCAACTATGAGTCAATTCTGACTGAAAAGCACACACCACCAATAACAATAACAATAACAACAACTGCTTTGTAAGAGCCCTGGTATAAACCTTGTCAGTTGTCCCTACTCTTGGACTACAGCTCAGAGAGCTAGAGGTGACATGGCAGTGGTTGCAAACATTCATAGTACACCTTTCTGTAGAGTAATAGCTCTATTTCTGTGTATAAACCCAAACTCACTGCCTTTGAGTCGATTCAGGAGCCCCCAGTAAGGTTTCCCAGGCTGTGAATCAATCAAAACAGGAAGAGACAGCTGCTGGCAGGTTTGTTTTCTCCAGAGACTCCTGACTGCACCGAAAGCACTTTGTTGTTCTTTGTTCATCTAAGTGTTATTTTAAAATCTTGTTTCATTTTTTCAAACATAAAGCACTCAGTAGAAAATCATTCTAATTGAGGGCTGATTGGTAGATTACTGTGTTTATTCTGTAGAATTAATTAAAGCCTGTGTAAATAATAATTTGCCCAAATTATAATTTTACATATATACTTTTATCTGAAAGTATACTATGTCACATATAACTAGGATTGAACTCTAGTGGCTTAGTGAGTATGGAGTTATGCTGCCAACCCAAATTTATCTGGAAGAAAGGTGAGCAATCTTTTCCTGGGAGATTTAATGTCAGCTGAATTCGGGCTCTGGCTTCTTGAGGCACGGCAGGTTTGAGGGCTCAGGGCAATTTTGGTGTTCTTTTGGCCCCACATCGGGGTTGGCAGAGTGGACTTGCTAGATGAACTGGGGGTCTGGTGGAAGGACTTTGCCAGAGTTTGGGTGTGCCGGGTTGGTAAGACACTGAAGGGCCCTTGGGCAGTCTTTCATTGTTTTTGTTCAGACATTCCTCTAGGTCATATAGCCCTGGTGTACAAGTTGCCGTACAGCAGTAACTTGTGGTTGCTGTGAGGCTGAACACTGTGACACTGATGTGTCAAATGCTACCCAATGGGGACAGAGAGTGGGGTGGAGCTTCCCCGATTCGAACAAGCTTGGAAGGAGGAGTGGCATCCACTTAATAATAGCTTACCTCCGGAAACCCTATGAACCTGGAGAGAGGATGAGAGACACCCAAGTATTGGGGACTCTCCTTCATAGGGTCGCTATGAGTCGTCTGCAACTCAACAGCACTTAACAACAACTGTTGTTATGTGCCATTGAGTTGGAAATGACTCATAGCAGACCCTCCAGTATGTTTTTGGAGTTGTTAAATTGCAGGGGAAGAGATTGCCAATCATTTCTACACCCACCCCCACCCCCACTCAAGCTCCTGCCTTTAGCTTGACAGTGTAACTCTTTACCACTACATTACCAGAGCTTCCTGTGCACCTGAGGCTTCTGAAAACCCACCAGAAGGTCAGCTACAAGTTGATTCTGACATCATGGCCGTGACTGACTCAATCATATTTTACTAATTATATGCTTTTTGGCTTAAATAATTCCTCTGTCAACTTCTTTAGGATGCAGACTTGACGTTTTTGACTTCTGATCACCCCAGCCTTCCAGAAAGCACAAAAGAAAACCAATTACTGATACTTCGAATTACAAATATTGATCGGATAGCTTTGGATTCTCTCAAGTAGGTTCAGACTGACTTTGTAATTTTGAAAGTAAAAACATTTATGTTTCAATAGGCTTACCATAAGCTTTCAAATAAACTTAAAATAAGATTCAATCCCAAGAATATTTTTGCTTTAATTAAGGATTCTTTTTCTTTTATAACCACAGCAAACAATGTATATATATTTTGTATGCTATCTTGTACTCGAAAAACAAAATTCATTCCACATGTGGGGACCCTTACAATTAAAATTCAATAATGTTCCATTTTGTGCTAATGAAAAGTACTTTCTCTGATGACCTTGTGGCAAGAAGCTGCCCTGAAATCCCAGTTGACACGGTTCTAATCTACCAGCTGCTTCACAGGAGAAGGATGGGCAATCTCCTTCTGTAGGCTTTGCTGCCTGTGAAAACCCACTCATTCGTCGGTTAGCTATGGGTTGGTTCCGACTCAGTGGCATAGAACAGCAAAGGTCATGTATCTGCAGCGCTTTTATTTACTATATGCTATCAAAGGGGGGAAAATGTTAGAGGATGGAATATCCATACAATATTAAAACAATTTTCTCCTACCTTGTTAGGGCGAAACTTTTGGTCACTTGAGATTATAGTATTATTCATTTATATTATGTGCATAATAAAAATAATGATATGAATTAAAAATGCACTTTAAGAATTTTTAACTTTACTCACAGTACTTTCTTGATGTTAACTATAATTCATATTGACTGATTTCTGTATTAAATATACAATAGTTGCCAATTGTTTGACTAATTTACTTAAAAAGAAAGTCTGTATTCCTTTTTCATTTCTTGTGTTAAGCAAAGTCAGTGTAATCTGGCATTTTAAAAAGAAACTTTTGAGTTATCTTTTGTAGGATGTGACTGCTTTAAAGTTCAATATTTTTATTAAAGATCTTAAAATATTATGAAAAAGCTAAGGGTATATATATAATGTTTAAATATAGTTTCTGGAAAATTTTACAAGCTAGCTCTTGTAGCATATTTAATCACCCTGAGTATTAAAGTATCAGGGAAAGGTGGAACTTAATGAATATCTAAGCACTTTTGCTTCCAACTATTTGAAATTTCTTTGAGTGTAGAGAAGGAAGAACTTAAATTTCAGCATGTACGATTGCAAGAAAGAATATGATTTTTTTTATCACTGTACATATATGAATTGCAGAGCTGCTTCTAAGGAACAACAAGATGGTGAAACCAGTCAAGAAGGCAGTGATAAGCAGGTCTTCAAGGCTGTCCAAGGTATGGATGATTATAATATCAGGTAGTTTCAATTATCAACTGGTTTCTTATTAAGCAGTAGAAAAGCAGTATTTCCAGATATTTCTCAGTGTTTGTGACACTTGATTTATTTTTTTCCTATTTTCTTACCCCTTTTCTTTTCTTTTTAAGTTCATTGGTGCACATTTTCTTTCCCTCCTCCCCTAACTCACCCACAATGTTCTAGATTGTTGTCTTACATATAATGTCTAATCATATATTTCTTTTGGTCAGTTCTTCCCCTCATCTGTTATATTGCAATGTTCATTTTGCCCACTCTATTCCCATTCTCTCCACAACCCTCCCATGTCTGTCCTATTTTATAGCAGCAGTGTTATATGTTATTTGTCCTTTTGTGACAGAGATATTTAACTTAACAAACTATGGCTGACTCTGAGAAGAATGAGAATCCTAAAATACTTGATTGCACATATGGAAAACCTATACTTGGACCAGGAGGCAGGCATTAGAACAGAGCAAGGGAACACTGCATGATTCCAAATTGGGAAGGGTGTGCATAAAGGATTTGTCCTATCTCCACATCTTTCCACATAGGTGGAACAGATTATCTGGGAGGCGGGGCTCTTTGAAGAGAAATATTGCATCAGGATTGGATGTAGATTAATCAACAATTTGCGTAATGCAGGTGACACTACCTTGCTTGGTGAAACTTAGGAGGACCTGAAGGGCTTGATGCAGAGGGTCAAGGACTGCAGCTTTTATTATGGATTGTAGTTCAAAATCAAGAAAACAAAGATTCTCACCACTGGGCTGATTGGCAGCATCATAATGAATGTTGGAAGAGACTGAGATTGTCAACAGCTTCAGTTTGCTTGGCTCTACAATCAACACTCTTGGTACCAGCAGCCAGGAAATTAAAAGATTAATTGCATTGGCAAAGTTTGCTGTCAGAGACCTCTCCAAAGTACTGAAGAGCAACGATGTCAGTCTGGAGACTAAAGCGCACCAGATCCAGGCCATGGTCTTTGCAGTTACTTGCTATTCATCAGAAAGCTGGACAATGACTAGGAATGACTGAAGGAGAATTTATGCCTTTGAGCTGTGGTGTTGGAGAAGAGTATTGAATATACCATGGACTTCTAGGAGAATAGACCTGTAGAGGGTGAAGCCAGGCTGCTTCTTGGAGGCAAGGATTCTGAAGCTCCATCTGACATACACTGGACATGTTGCAAGGCAGGATCAGTCCTTGGAGAGGAACGCCATGCTTGGCATGGTGAAGAGACAGTGTAGGAGAGGAAGACCGTTGATGAGATGGACTGATTCAGTGACTGGGGTAATAGGGGTAGGTTTATCAGACAATAAGATTATCGCAAATAAAAGCAGGGTTTAGGGCTTTTGTAAATAGGGTTGCTATGAGTTGCAGGCAACTCAACCGCACATAATAATAACAACAATGTCCTCTAGGGTACCCCTTATTGCGTAATGTTTTAGGAATTCTTTGTTTTTCAGTGCTGTGTAATATTCCATTGTGTGAATGTACCACAGTTTTCCTATCCATTTGCTTGTTGATGGGCACTTGGATTGCTTGGATCTCTTTGCTACTGTGAATAATGCAACAATAAATATGGGTGTGCATACAATTGTTTGATACATAGCTCTGGTCTCACTAGGGTATATACTCAGTAGTAGAATCCTGAGTCAACTGGTATTTTTATTTCTAGCTTTTTGAGGAAGTTCCAGACCACCTTGCATAGTGGCTGTATCATTTTACATTCCTACCAGTAATGAATGAAAGTTCCAGTCTCTCTTCATCCTTGCCAGTATTTGTTGTTTGCTATCTTATATATTTAAAATAAAATATATATCCTTGCAAATGAAAATAAAATAAAAATACCTATCTTAAAACTTTTGATCATCTTTCCTACCATAACAATTAATTACAACTAATGAAATAAATAGTATTATATGAATTGTGAATTAGAAAATATGAGTTTTGCTAATTAGATAAAAAGTAAAAATGATTGTTTTGATAATGCAATACTCATCTTATGCATTACTAGATGACATTCTTGTAATGATGATAGCTTTGTGTGGAAGAGACACACACTAGACTGGTAGTCAGACTCATGTTCTGACTTTGCTGATCAATAGACATATGACCTTGTATTAATGTCTTGTATCTCTTTATTGATAAAATTGGATAATAATACAAGTTTTATTAACCTTTGAGGGCATTTGTGGGAAATGAATGAAATATATATAGCTTTTGGGACACAAAGACATTTTCTTTAAAAGTTAAGGTATTATGAAATGAAAAGCATTGCTGTCTAGATTGAACTTATTCAAAACAAAACAACAAACTAGGTTCCATTATAATTTAGAGATAAATTTTTTGATGCAATCATAATAAG